TGGGTATTATAGGCAAGATGGAGTGCATCTCTCTGATGTGGGTGTTGACTTCCTGTGGTTGGGGTTTCAGGAGGGATTGCAGCGGGCATTGTTTTTGGTGGGGGCACTCAGGTAGTTCGAGGTGTTAAGCTCTGAGCTTTGGCGGGGAATGGATAAACAAGTTGGGGTGTAGGTTGTTTGTCCAGATTTAACATAGTTTAGTTCACTAAGAACTGTTAGGTTTTGATAGATTTTGGTTGGTTTGAGCTCGTCGGTAGCTCCGAACCTGGTGTGTGTAGGGTGTGTCTTGGTATACCCCTACATGGTGGAACATGGTAAATCATGCCCTTGGTGGCAATGGTTTAAGTGGTTAGATGTTGTTTATGTTAATATATGTTAATATTGATTGTTTATGGGGGTCATTGTCAGAGTCGAATTGTTAAGAGTTGGGGCTGATGATTTTATGTTAAATATGTTGACAATGACCTTTACTAATTTATGTTTTATTTATTAATAAAGCTGTGATAATATTCCCAAACGTAAGGTGTCTGCGTATCCTTGGGTTTTGTGGTTTTTTTATACTGCATATGCCGGAAAGGCAACTATCCTTATGTCATGTAATATTAAAAGAGAAATAATGCTTCCAATTACAGCTGTTCTCAAAAGCTTACATACCCTTGGAGAATTGGTAATATATGTGCCATTTTTAATAAAAACATGAGTGAGCAGGCAAAATCCAAACCTTTTATTTTTATGGGATTTATATTCAACTGCAGGTTAAAACAGAATAGCACAATCATAAAACAAAACATGGCAACAAAGACAAAAAATGAAATGATCCCTGTTCAAAAATCTGCATTCCCTTGGTTCTTAATACTGTGTATTGCCCCCTTTAGCATCTATGACAGGGTGCAGTCTTTTGTAATAGTTGTCTATGAGGCCCCTAATTCTTGCAGGTAGTATAGCTGTCCATTCGTCTTGGCAAAATGCCTCCAGGTGATGCAACGTCTTGGGTGGTCTTGCATGAACCGCACGTTTCAGATCTCCCCAGAGTGGCTTAATGATATTAAGGTCAGGAGACTGTGATGGCCACTCCAAAACCTTCACCTTTTTCTGCTGTAACCACTGGAGTGTCAACTTAGCCTTGTGCTTAGGGTCATTGCCATGCTGGAAAGTCCAAGAGCATTCCATGCGCAGCCTTTGTGTAGAAGAATGCAAATTGTCTGCCAGTATTTTACGAAAAACATGCTATATTCATCTTGCCATTAATTTTCACAAGATTCCCCGTGTTTTTAGAGCCCACACACACACAAAACATCAGTGAGTCACCACCATGCTTCCCAATGGGGATGGCACTCTTTTCACTATAGTACTTGTTGACCACTCTCCAAACATAGCGCTTATGGTTGTGACCATAGTGCTCTGTTTTGGTCTAACAGTGACCAAAATAGAGCTCTATTTACAGTGTGTCAGAAGCTGTGAGACGTGTCAATGTGTTGTCATTCATATTGTAACCAGGCTTTTTTGTGGCATTGGCGCAGTAAAGACTTATTTCTGGCAACTCGCTCATGCAGCTAATTTTTGTCCAAATATTGTCACATTGTGCTCCTTGAAACAACCACACTGTCTTCTTCCACAGCAGTTTGTATTTCTCCTGAGGTTACCTGTGGGTTTTTCTTTGTGTACCGAACAATTCTTCTGGCATTCGTGGCTGAAATCTTTCTTGGTGTACCGGACCGTGGCTTGGTATCAAGCGATCCCCAAATTTTCCACTTCTTAATAAGTGATTGAACAGTACTGACTGGCATTTTCAAGGCTTTGGATATCTTTTTACATCCTTTTCCATCTTTATAAACTTCCATTATCTTGTTACGCAGGTATTTTGACAGTTCTTTTCTGCTCCCCATGGCTCAGTAGATAGCCTGCTAAGTGCATCCACGTGAGAGCTAACAAACACATTGACTATTTATACACAGACACTAATTGCAATTTAAAATGCCACAGGTGTGGGAAATTAACCTTTTTATTGCCATTTTAACCTGTGTGTGTCACCTTGTGTGTCCGTAACAATGCCAAACATTCAAGGGTTTGTAAACATTTGATTAGGGCCATTTAGGTGATTTCTGTTACCATGATGATTTGAAAAGGAGCCAAACAACTATGTCATAATAAATGGCTTCATATGAATCACTATCCTTCAATAAAATATATATATATATATTTTTTATTTTTTTTTGCATGATCAGTCATATTTTCAAAACCAATGCCAAAATTTCACAATTTCTACCAGGGTATGCAAACGTTTGAGCACAACAGTACATAATAGCAGTGCCATATTAAGGCTCTATATCTGTAGCTAATTATACAGCACAGTGTATTATGTTACAAAATGTCTTATCTTGGCCATGCTTCATGTATTGATATGTAGGAAAGATGATTTTCTGTGTTTGGATTGATCAGTTTAAAATACCAATGCTTTGCAATAAATGCAAAGGTAATGTAATAATGGACTCTACAACTGACATGTTATAGCAGCCACGTATAATTCCCTTTTTTCATGTAGTTTTAATGGAACTGAATACTACTGCATTACTTTTATGAATAATTCCCATAAGATTTTTCAATCACAAACATGTATGGATACAGTCTTTTATTACAAACATGTTTTCTTAGTTCTCTTCTATTTTCCTAGAAAACCCTTGACTTTTTCATGATATGCCAATCAAAAAACTCATTTTGATTTTCTTTATAATTCATTTTGCATCGATTTATTGTTAAAATATTACATCAATGCTGTGACCTTTTGCTTCTTTTTCACATATTACTTTAGATTTAACTTGTTTTAAAGGGACACACCACTGCCCAAATGTCAAAAAAATAAGAGTAGTAGATATATATGTATACACAGTTGCAATAAAAATTATTAAATCCCCATTGAAAATCAGGTTTATTGTCAATATTTACAGACTTTCAGCTGTTTGCAATGAACAAGTCAAACAAAAGCAATTGAAATAGCTCAGCACAACAAATGTTTTAAGTGGTTTCCCCAAATTAAACTGAAAATGCAACTTATAATGACTTCTCCAGTCTCAAAATTATTCAACCCCTTCAATGAAGTTGTACTTAGTAGAACACCCTTTTGCTGTTATGACCTGCTGCAAAAGAGATGCATAGCCAGACACCATTATCTGGCATCGTGTCTAAAGAATCTTAGCCCATTGCTGATGAGCAAGGGCTGTCAGTTCAATAATATTCTTGGGTTTGCGTGCTGCAACTGCTTTCTTCAAATCCCAGTAGAGATCTTCTATTGAGTTCAAGTAAGGTGATAGCAATGGCCTCTGTAGAATATTTCAGGACTTCTGCAACCAAGCCTTGGTGAAATTTGAGGTATGCTTGGGATCATTGTCATGATGAAAGGTCCAATGATGGCCATGCTGCAGTTTCATCACAGACCGCATGATGTTTACTCTTGATACTTAAAAATGCATCTTGCCTTCCACACACTGCAGGTTTCTAGTGCCAGAGGATGCAAAGCAGCCCCAGAGCATCACTAAGCCACCATAATGCTTAACTGTAGGCAGGGTTCTTTTTAGTGTATGCTTCATTCTTTTTTCTCCAGAAATACCCCTGATCCATTGGGCCAAAAAAGTTCCAGTCCGGTCAGTTCCCCTGTCAGCTCCACTGTAAATCTCGCGAGAGCCGCGGCGTCTGAGCGTTGCCACAGGTTACCATGGCAACGCTCCGCGCGGCACTCAGACCGCAAGACTTACAGTGGAGCTGACAGGGGAGCTGACCGGCACGGAGGAGAAGGGAGCTGCAGGAAAGGTAAGTTACAGATTGCTGCCAGCCCCCCTCCTACACAGCCCATGCCACTGGACCACCAGGGAATGAGAGCCCCCTCCCTGGCCAGCTACCAAGCAAGGAGGGGGGACGGAAATAAATAAAAATTTAAATAATATTAAAATAAAATAAAAAATATTAATAATAATTTTAAAAAAATTATAAAAATGCCCACTCCCCACCAAGGCTCTGCATCACACACACACTGCACTCATACACACACACACACTGCACTCATACACACACACACACTGCATTCATTATATACACACACTGCATTCATTATATACACACACTGTAAATAAATATAAAATTAATATAATTTTTTGGGGATCTAATTTTATTTAGAAATTTACCAGTAGCTGCTGCATTTCCCACCCTAGTCTTATACTCAAGTCAATAACATTTTCCCAGTTTTTGTGGGGTAAAATTAGGGGTCTCGACTTATATTCGGGTCGACTTATACTCGAGTTTTTACAGTATATAACAATTCTTGAACTTAATTAAATGTAAAGTAATAAATAGTTGTTACTATTGCAATTTATACTATTTTGGAATAACGGAACAGAACATTACAACCCTAATGCTTCACTCTACTATAGAGCATTTTGTAATGTGATCAACTGCTAAATCCAAAGATCAATATTCTCTCTGCTGTCTTGACACTGTTGACCACTCACTCACTTTTCTATCCTCTGGAACCATAGGCTTCTTGAGTCTGTCCTTTTTTTGGTTCTTTTCCTATTTCTCTTAACACTCATTTAGCAGATCGCTTACTGGCACCACTACACGTCGTAGTTGGTGTCCCCCAAGGCTCGGTTCTTGGTCCTATTTTGATTCTCTTTACACTGCATCTCATGATAACCCTATCAACTCCTTTGGATACCAGTATCATGTGTAAACTAACAATAATCTGATCTAACACTCCATCACAGATCTTTCGCCTAGCCTCCTGAATGTTTCACCAACAACCTTTCTGCTATCGCGAACTTGATGTCTTCTTGTAGTCTAAAACGTAATCTTTCCATAACAGAACTTCTTATCTTTCCTCCTTCAAGTACCTCACCTCTTTTTTTTTTTTTTTCTTCCTATTTCCTATTTTAGGGCAGAGAATTGAACAGTAGAGATGTCGCGAACTTCCCGCGAACGGTTCGCCACGAACCGTTCATGGCGAGCTCCGGTCAGCTGACATATCCCGGCCAGCAGACTCTCCCTCCCAGACCCTCCCACCTCCTGGACAGCATCCATGTTGAAGCTGCCTTCAACATGAATGCTGTCCAGGAGATGGGAGGGTCTGGGAGGGAGGGTCTGCTGGAGATTTGCCGGGATGTGTCAGCTGACCGGAGCTCGCCGCGAACGGTGCGTGGCGAACCACGGCGAGCCGTTTGCGGGAAGTTCGCGAACGGTTCGCGACATCTCTATTGAATAGTGAGACTGCAAGACTGCAAGACCTGTACACCAAAACTGCTTCATTAAACTAAAGTTGTTTAGATGTCTATGGAATCCCTTTAACAACTCCAACACCCATTTTCCCCATTACCTTTCATACTCAAATATACCTTTTCTCATTTCCCTTGCTCTGCCAATTGTCTTCTTTTGGACTTCTCAATGGCTGCACCTTTTCTATGCAATGCACTATATGTACTATAGAAATGCTGATAATAATAATAATAATAATAATAACAGATTTTGCGACTGATGCTTTAAACAAATTAAACATCTCACAAAGTGCAAAATGTTTAAGTTCTATTTCTGGAAACATTAACAAAGTAATATAGTAAGCCATGATTAATGTTAGTTACATGAAATTTTAAAGTATTGCTTTAACCCTTAAGTGTGCAATTATTTTAATCATTTATTCCATATTGGGCATTGCTGACTTAGACCCCCCTCAATGATTCAAATTAAACCTTATAAAAAGCAATAAATGTAACTGGAATCAAGCACAGTTCGAAGCTCCCCACTCTGATTTCCACTCTTCGTCTGACAATGCCACTTCTCATAGAGAAGCATTTGACAAGACCATTTTACCAGTTCAGATCGCATGCACCTGCCCTTAGCTGGTATGAGGAGTGAGGGACTAAGAGAGTAATGGTGGAGGGAGGAAGGGTGGGAGGGAGTGGTGGTGGACAGAGAAGCAGGTCATATTTAAACAAATAAAATGACTGATTAAGGGTATAGGGTCATTAGGATGGTGGGGCAGTATTAGATGAAAGAGGGCGGTGAGGGCATAAGTTCTGTATGTTGGGGGTGGAGCGGAGAGGCAACCGCTCATTGGGGTTATCCCGATCCTCACTAGGGTCGTGGCTCACTTACCTGGCACAGAAATGAGAGTTCCTGCAGAGTTTGATTCTGGCTGTCACCAGACCAAGTGGGCGCTGCTGAGGCGCCTGCAACACTCCAGTCTCCTCCATCTTAGCCCACATTGGAGGAGCGCCTGGACAGGGACTTTGCAAACATCTTGTCGCAATTCTGGAGTGGGATCTAGTTTTGTGTGCAAAAGTCTGAAGCTACTATGATTTTTGGGATACACTACAACTCAGATAGGTAAGCATAAAGACAGGACAATGCAAACAAAAGGTAGAAAATAACAAATATTCAAATAATCAAGTGCCAAGTGAGGTAGGTGCTATCAACAACTGGAACACCAAAAACTAGAATGGTTTCGCCAGGAAACGATCAGCACAAATTCAGGAAAGGGTGAATCACAATAAGTGAAACCCAGGTAATTTTAGGATGAACAAAGACATGCCCCACTGTTCGCCGACTAGTAGCAAGATTGTATAAGAGCATCAAGCTACAAAAGGGCAGAAATTGTATTTATTATATATGTGTAATTGTGGTGCACATGTACAGACAAAGTGGCACTCTGCCATATAACAACACAGGCAGAAGATAACCAACTGTATCACTCCCTGCCCCCCACCCAAAAAAGCTGGAGGCTTTTTCAAATTGCAAATTGGTGCAACTCCAAACTGTTAATGCATATTTAGATAATCCAAATTATATTCCAAAGTCTTCCAACGACTACTAGCTAAATTAATGTAAAAATATACATCGCCTTTGCCTGTCAACATCCATGTTTAGCCAACTGATGTGGCTTGCCTGCCTTCCTTGTATTTTTAAAACTGTTATGAACAGTCTGACTTTTTTGTTTTTGTTTACAAGCATCTAAAAAGCCAAAAGTTTATCTTTAAAAAGTTCTATTTATGCACAGAAACATTGCCATAAACAGAAGAAATGTAATACTAGATTCTAGTCTTTTCAATAATAGAAACAATTTATCAGTTACTGTTTGTCATGAACAACAAAGTTAAACCACAAAAGGGAATGAAGATCAATCTCTCACCCTTGACGAAGCAGGTCTGTGAAAAAGCGGTAGGGTTAGAAATGAATCTGCGAGCTTGCTTCTTTTATTTATTCTAAGTTCCCTGCTCATGACTAGCTGTAACTGATGAATAGTATTTATTACCTTCTGGCTCATATGCCATTGTTACATTTGTCCTGTTTATGACTCCATTTGTGATGTTTATGACCATGTTTTAGCTTTTTTGTACGAATAGAAAGAACATTTTAGGAATCTAATGGCTGAGTTGGAATTATTTCTCCATGCATTCCATTATCGAACTTTCCTTACTTAAGGCACGTATACTGCAGAGACTAGCATGGGTTAGATGTGAAGATAAACACATAAGAGGACTCTGCAAATATCAATCTTTATTACCTTTAAGGTCTGTTGACCATTTGTTTTTTATTTTGTGCGCAATTTACCTTAAAGCAGTTCTTTACACGCTCATGCACACAGGGGGTTACACATTTTACACTTGATATCTAGTACTTCTGGTGGATTATTGGAATTTCTTGTAGGTTGAATTTAAAGATTAAAAACATTTAATCAGTGCAGTACTAGAGCACAAGAAAATTGTAAGGAAATTAGCTATGCACATTTGGCAAAGATTATAAATCTGTGCTTTATTCTTCTTTTACTCGTGAGAATTATTGCATAAGAACACACCATGCTTCCACTATCTAAGAGTATTGTCTTGATTAGGTGAACACCTATTAGGTAGCCAAGAGGTAAAATTGATTCATAGTCTTTCTGCTGCAAACTACATAGACTTGAAGTTGGAATGAATTATATGGCATGGAGAAACTACTGATAACCTCAGGCATAGCTGCACAGTGAAAAATTACTTCTCTTAATATCAAAAATATGGAAACTTACCCATCAGCCCAACACTTGATGGATGTTTGCATCAGACTTACACCACATCGCAACATTTTCTAAGTATATAGGGAGCACACGGAGCCATTATGCTCCATTTTATTAAAGCTATTGGTAGAGTTATTCCTGCGACATGTCTCTTGACTTGACTTTCTGAACAAAGTTTTTTAGAAAGCAGGTTGTCCACGTCTGCTGCAGACTCTGATGGCTAACTAGGCCTATGCGGGATAAAAAAAGTCTGGCCGCCTTAACTAACCAACATCTGGGTTAATGCTACACTTTCTACTGGGCTTCAACACGACTATCATGGCACTCTAGCACAATCCAGCCATCCAGCTAAGGACTCTCACATTTGTACTATAATTTTAGGGATGGTTATTGCTACTCAATCTCCCGACGCAGCCCCAGCTAACATATGCTGAGTTAGAACTCTGGTTTCTCTTATACTCCTGCTGGCCTTACAACCTGGCACTGTAATTAGTTTTAGCAAACAGTGCAGCACACCAGACGGGCATAAGGCACTAAAGTTGCCAACCCCCTTCGATTTACACTGTAATCTTATATTATTCAGAAGCGGACTACGATCCTGCAGGCTCCAAAGCTGTGATATTGCATGATATGGCTGTACAGTTCATACTTAATGTAATGTATATAGTCACTCCTGTGCTGTGTTCTCATCTAATGTGTGGATCACTGTATGGCCATGGCATGTTTATATATTGAGCATCCAGATATAGCACAACGTTCAAATATTCTTATATATCCAGCAGTCTCGCACCTGAATGACAGGCTTGCATTACACAACACAATGTTACTACAGCTTGTTTCCTACCATTATGATGGCCAATGTGACAAGCACTAAGGAATTTCTTCAGAGAGTCCTTGTACCTCTTCTTTGGTGTTCCTCTTTCGCAGTGACCAGTGGAGAGATCGCCATACAGGACAATCTTGGGTAGGCGATGATATTCCATCCTGGAGATATGCCTGCCCAGCACAGCTGCAACTTCAAAAGCATAGCATTGATGCTTGCAGTCTGCACCTGTTCAAGAACTTCAATGTTGGTAATGAAGTAATTCCAATGGAAGTTAAAGATTGTGTGGAAGCAGTGCCGGTGAAAGCGCTCAAGGAGTCACAGGTGGTGGTGATAGGTAACCCGTGACTCAGAACCATACAGAAGAGTGGTCAGTATGAATTGCACCATACACAATGATCTTTGAGCCTCTCTTCAGATGCTTGCTGTTATGCTCTTATACAGTCTGATGAATGCCCTGTTAAGCACTGGAAACAAAAATAAGCCTCGAAACGTGTTAGTGTTGTGGACTATTTATTTCATGTTATTTTAAGCTTATTTTTGTTTCCAGTATTATTTGTATCCAGTAAAGTTTATTTCTTTTTCACCATATTGGATATCCTGGAATCATTGAGGGGCTGGAAAGGAGCTATCCTGCTTAGGAATCCGAAAGCCAGAATAAGCTTATTATTCATCTGCCTTTTGATCATTTTGCCTTGTGTTACAGTATTATACTATGCATATGTTTATGTTTCTATTATAGGAAGATCAGCAAGTGTTCAACTCACTATACTAAGTATACAGCCAAGTATTGTATATCTTCCTTTGCACCCCCATTACCCTCATTTCTTTCACTTTGTATCTGAGTGCCATTTAGTGATTTTGGGCACTGGGGGTAGTTGCCTATCCTTTGGTGTTTAGCGCCAATCCACCATATCTCTATTGTGCTTGTATTTTATGTCCTTGTCAATACTGACATCTGAAGAGATGATGTATCCAAAGTAGCTTAACTGATGGACTGTCTTCGCTCTGATTCACCAATGGTGATGCGGGGGTGAAAGTAATCTTCATGAAGGGCAGGCTGGAGGAGGACTTCTGTTTTCTTCAGGCTGACTTCTAATCCAAAAAGAGTTCAGCAGTCTCTGCTAAGCAGGACATTATTAGCTACAGGACTGTGACTGTATGGGAAACAAGGGCAGCAGCATCAATGTAGAGCAGCTCTTTGATGAGTTGGTTCACCATCTTGGTGTGTGCCTTTAGTCATCTCAGGTTAAATAGGCATTATTCAGTGCGGTAATGCATGTAGACACCTTCCTCTTCATCGAGG